GAGTGATCAAAGATACAACCAGAAGCTTGCCAGAAACTGGTGGGCAGCTGTGAACAACAGTTAAGTGAGGTGAAAAAGACCAAGGGACATTTAACCAAATATTAGCTTTGCTGTACGTGAAGTGATTAGTTCACTTGTACAACGGTATCTGTATGAAGTTTGTTAGGCGTAAACTACTGATCATACTGGTCAAAGACTGATGCTGCAAAATGTGTTGAACTCCAGTTAATAAAATGTAACAATACTTAATTGTTGCATTTTATTGATTCTGAACTCAGCTGTTCATTTTTAAGGGAAGGTGTGTTCCAAAGTCCAGTTTTTGTATATAGATTTTTTAACCCTAACTCTCTCCTGTGTCTCTTCATCTGCAAAGCAAAACAAAGATTCAAAGTGTGTGCAGGTGTGAGAAAGGCTGATGATGTTTCTGATTCAAGATAAGATCAACTGAACTACTGATGTTAAGAACAACATGTCAAGCAGAACGCGTTCAACAGTTTTGGCATCAAATGCATGAAGGAAATAGTTTGTGTTCTCTTTCATTGTGACATATTTTGTCCTACATTTGTGTTCTGACAGACTTCACAATTGTTGCCTCTCAGAGACTCACTGTGGAGTCGTGGCCTCAGCTCTGAAGTCCAACCCCTCCCATCTGAGAGAGCTGGACCTCAGTAACAACAACCTGCAGGATTCAGGAGTGAAGCAGCTTTCTGCTGGACTGCAGAGTCCAAACTGTAAACTGGACGCTCTTAGGTCAGTTCACTGAGTATTGCTGTTTTTTTCAGTTTATTTGATTCAGATTCTTCACTGAAGTTTCAGTAACCCCCTCATAACCTGACTTCAGGGTCACAAGATGGAAGTCAACATCCACAGTCCTGTCCGACTAGATAATCATTGTTTTTATCTGCATCTTTTATTTTTAATCAGATTGAAGGACTGCAGTTTGTCAGAGATCAGCTGTGATTCTCTGAGCTCAGCTCTGAAGTCCAACCCCTCCCATCTGAAACATCTGGACCTGAGTGTGAACAAGCTGCACGATCCAGGAGTGAAGCATCTGTGTGGTTTTCTGGAGAGTCCAGACTGCAGCTTGGAGACTCTGAGGTCAGACACCATGTTTTATTTGTGTGCTGAGATGAATAAGATGTGAAAGTTGTGGTGACGTTAAACAACAAACATCAGGATGATATTATATTGATCCACGCTGAGGAGCTTCGTGGTATCATCTGTTTTCTTCTTCACTGCTTTTGCTCATTGACTGTTGCAGAGCAATGTTGTACTGCTCATTTCAAAACTCAGTATGACAAGAAACATCCTGCACTGAAAAGTTTACTGTGAAACACATGTCATCTTTATTTCATGATGACCTCATGTTTATTCTTCAATTCAAACTGCAAGCCATGTGGCAAGTGACAGATCTTTCTTAATATTGATGAAGCTGTCAGTTAAAACTGTGGAAAATGTGTGATTTTGTCCAGAAACAGTCGAAAACCCCAAATATTCAGTTTGCTGTGATGATAAACAGAAAACAGCAGCATGTTGTCAGTTATATTAATGAGAGCTCTTCTCCGCAAGCTGCATGCTGTTTGTTTTAGCTGCATTTTCTATACCTTCATCTCTGTATAGATGATTAAACTGAATGATTTCAAGCAGGAACTTTGTCTCCTAACACAGCATGTTTTATTCTTCATTCAGACTGGAGCTCTGCGGTTTGTCAGAGATCAGCTGTGCCTTTCTGAGCTCAGCTTTGACATCCAACCCCTCCCATCTGAAACATCTGGACCTGAGTCTCAACGAGCTGCAGGATTCAGGAGTGAAGCAGCTTTGTGGTTTTCTGGAGAATCCACACTGCAGACTGGAGACTCTGAGGTCAGTTCTCAGACTCTGGGTTACTGTTGTAGATCTTAAATGCTTCATGACTAACTGTAGGGCGGCTGTGGCTCAGGTGGTAGAGCGGGTTATCCTCTAATCGCAAGGTTGGCGGTTCAATCCCCCGCCCCTCCACAGTCAAAGTGTCCTTGGGGAAGACAGTTGCTCCCAATGGCAGGCAGCACCTTGCATGGCAGCTCTGTCGCCATTGGTGTGTGAGTGGGTGAATGAGAAACATTGTAAAGCGCTTTGAGTGCCACAAAGGTAGAAAAGTGCTATATGAGACCATTTACCATGTAGCATCTTCTTCCATCCATGATCCTGTAATTTGCCGTTGTAATGTTCTATTTTCTTGTCTTAAATTTAGTGTGTTGTCACCAAAGACGAGTGTTTGACAGAAAAACTTTAGGAAAATGTCAAGTATTAGTTGTTCAAGTAATTGTTTTTTTTTTTTTGTAATGTGCTTATGAATCACATCTTGATACAAAAAATCATCTGAACACATCCATCCATCCATTATCTATACATCGCTTAATCCTCACGAGGGTCATGGGGGGCTGGAGTCTATCCCAGCTGACTCAGGGTGAAGGCAGGGGACACCCTGGACAGGTCACCAGTCTATCACAGGGCTACACTTAGAGANTTTTTCTTCAATTTATGGGGCTTTAGTGAAAAATAAATACATAAATTGTACCTCTTCAATTTCATGTGGTCCAGTCCATCGAGGTGCCAACTTGTCACCCTTGCGCTGTGTTCGTCTGGCATTGTTGAGGAGGACAAAGTCTCCAACCTTGTAGCTGGGAGGCTGGTGACGTTCATCGAAGTAAGACTTCTGCTTCTGCTGAGCATCATTGATGTTAACCTTTGTTTCCTGCTGCAAGTTGAAAAGATTCATCAGTGAATCTATCCTGGTGTCTAGCTGATCATCCTCTCCTGCTGGCTTGCAGGCTTCTCCCACAGGAAATTCCTCCTCAATGAGCAGGGTTGGTTGTCGCCCAAAGGCCAGCTCAAAGGGAGACTTTTTGGTTGTCTTGTGGTGGGTGGTCCGGTAGCCTAGCAGGATGGGGTTGATGTACTCATCCCAGTTGTCTTGCTGTTCATTGACATACTTCACAATGGCATTGCAGAGGGTCTGGTTGTAGCGTTCAGTCTGGCCGTTGGACTGGGGATGGTATGCTGTTGTGGTGCGGTGGTCTATCCCAAGACATCTGCATAGCTCCTCGTTGACCCTGTTGCAAAACTCTTGGCCCTGGTCAGTGATCAGGACTTTGACATTGGAGTAGCAGCAGACAAGCTTGACGAGGATCTTGGCGATGGTTGAGGCATCCTTGTTGGGTATGGCCTCTGCCTCGGGCCACTTAGTCAGGTAGTCTGTGAAGACTGCGATGTAGCGGTTCCCACTGGCTGACATGGTCAAAGGCCCCACAAGGTCCATCCCAAACTGGGTGAAGCTGGTGTCTGGTGGTGGTGGTATGGGGTGCAGAACAGCTGAAACCTTGCGAAAACTGTTGCTGCGCTGGCACACATCACATGTAGCTGCAAATAGAGAAACAGGATATATGTAAGACACATAACACTATAGTATTATAATATACATTAAATACAAGGGGTACATATCCTATGCCATAGAAAATGGACCTAGGTACTCTCATATACATTAAATGCAAGGGGTTCAGATTTTATTATAAAGATCTTACCAATGAAGTCTGCAATATCCTTGTACTGTGGGCCTGGCCAGCAGTAACGACTCGTAATGATGGATGTTGTCTTGTTGATTCCCTGGTGACCAGCTGTAGGGACAACATTGACAAGCTTTCAAGATGGCTTCCTTCTCCTCAACCCTGATGACCCGAAGAGGCTTCTTGGTCTTGGGGTGGATATAGTGCAGTGTGCCTTTGATGAGGAGGAACTTGCTGGCCTTCTTCCTGAAATTCCTCCTGGTGTTCTCGGTGTCAGCAGAAGCTGGCCATACTCTGCTGTGTGCATCTTTGCTGGCGAGGAAATCCGAAAGAGCCCTGAAAAGACATCAACATTGACATTGATTAATACAAAGAATAATTTAAAAAGTATATGTGAAGAATAAGAATAAAAAGGGAAAAGTACCACTTTTTGGTGACAAAAAGAAAAGTAACTCGATTAAATACAAAATAGTACATTGTTAGACAGAGATCATGGCTGTTATAGTTTCCAAATATCACTGAAATTAAGAGGTCCATACATTGTTTGAAGGATACTCACTGGTACTCTGATTCTTCCATGTCTCAGAAAGTGAGCTGAACTCTGGCTGTGAATAGGAGTGCTGCTGAGCAGTTGCTACACTGAAAGACCTGCTGTTCAGCCCTCCGTGAATGTTGGATTCAGTTTGGCTTGTAGATAACAGTTCTTCAGAAAGAAGGCATGAGACGTCAGTATGTTTGAGCATTTATTACCTTCTCCTGAAGGCACTGTAAAACTGAAATAACAAAATATACATATAAGTGAAATTATACACATATGTTACAGCATACATCAATGCTTTATCACAAAATAAGTCAGTATTTAAAACAAACACAAACGACTAGCGTCTAACCCGCTAGCTCGATGCTAACTATATATGGGAAATGTCATTGACGTGCGAACGGAATTAGCATCTACGTCGTAACTTAAAAGATAACAAAATATTACAAGTATAAATTTCACCTCTATCGTGAATAACAACTGCATTTATCAGAATACTTACAGGCATATATTTTCTTTGCTCTGTTTAAAAGGAACCTTTACAAATTACTTGTACCAGCCGCACTTTCCACTTGCTCAATCTTGTTCTGACACTGCGTTCCAGTAGTTGCAGTAGGCCTACTCTGTCCAGCTCACCAACTCCCCCTAGCGGGGCGGCTGAGCCACTGCACATAAGTAGAAGCAGTACCATTTTTCACTACCTTAACTTCTACTTTGCGCACTTTACTGTCTCTGCTAGAAACAGCATGAACAACAAGTCCTGTTGGCCACTCAGTTCTTTTAGTTTGGGAGTCCTTCAAAAGCACAACATCTCCTGCTTGAAGATTAGGCTTTTCAGGAGACCACTTTCTTCTTGTCTGAAGTGTTGCAAGGTATTCATGCTTCCATCTCTTCCAGAAAGCATCAGCGAGTCCTTGAACTTGTTTCCAGTGTTTGTTAGAAAGATCACTGACATCAAAGTCTTCTGAAGGTGCAGACATTGTATCCTGCTTTTGTGTCAATAACATTGATGGGGTGAGTAACCTGCAGTTGTTGTTGTTGAAGATCAGTGATTGAGTAGGCAGTCAATGTTTGGTGTTGACTATCAGTGATCGAGTAGGCAGTCAATGTGGTTATGATTTGGAGAAGAAATGGATGTGAATTTATACTCTAGGGAGTTATATATGTGAGAGAAACCATGAAAGGTGTAAAATCTCCAATCAAAGGTGTTGTCTCAACACCTAATACCAGATTAGAAGGCGTGAAGTTTTTATCACAAGGTAGTCTTCACACTTCCTTAATGGCAACAAGGTGTTATTTCGCACATTAGATATATGAGACAAACATGCAAGGTTTTATAACTCCAATCAAAGGATTGGTCTAGTTCCAAGTCATTAAGAGTTTATGTCATTGTTATTATTGATGTTATATGTGCACAATAATATTACTTTTATTAACAAGAAATGGTTTGCAAATTTTATGCACATTTTTGTGGGGGGGCCCACATTCTATAGGGAGGGTCCATTTTCAAGGGGGTCCATATGCAGTACTACACCTGTAGTGTCTTCACTCCCTACTCACCTTATCCTCTCCAAGCCAGAAGACTTCAGCAGTTTGTCCACCCGCAGCTATGACTCTCCGGTGCGTCCTCCTGTCCGTCTCCTGGGTCTTCCTCTGGTTCTGCACTGACATCAGTCCAACCTGTAATAACCAGTGGTGTCGCTTCGTGGAGGCCTTTAGTAAGGGCATTTTATGAGATTTTTTCACAAATCTGCCAACTAAATCCTTACCAAACAATTTCTTCACCAATATGTTTGTAAAGGTGTGTAATAACATGCCTTGAAATGTTGAAGTTCAACTCCCGTGGGAAACCCTAAAAAAAAACCTGCTCAAGTTAGGGTACTGATAAATGATTGACGAAAAATCGATTTTCAAAAATGTGGTCCTTAAGTAACTTATGAGGAATCAAATCAGGGTTTTTTCATGATTCTGAGTTGATTGTTAGCATTTATATTTCAACACAAACACTCCGTTGTTGAAAAAGGCCACACTCACTTTACATTTACATTCACAGCAGCTTATATTTCACGTACTTATATAACACTCAGAGTTATTTCTCATTCACAGTGTCAGAAGTTTCAAGAGTCATTGTCTATGTCTTCAGACTCAACAACATCATGACTGCAGTTTCTGCATGTAATGCCTTTACAGACTCCACAGGCCCAGATGCTCGTGACCCCATTCTTCTTGCAGCTGCACCGCCGGTTGCTGCAATGTCCATGACAATTACAGCTCATGAACTTCAGTAGCTCCTCAAGAGTCATGGGGTCTAGTGTTGGACCTGGCTCATACCTATGCACACCTAATGTNTCACCAGTCTATCACAGGGCTACACTTAGAGACAGACAACCAAGCACACTCACATTCACACCTACAGACAATTTAGAATCACCAATTAACTTCAACATGTTGTTGGACTGTGTGGTAGGAAGCTGGAGAACCCGGAGAGAACCCACGCTGCACGGGGAGAACATGCAAACTCCACACAGAAAGATTCCGGTGCCCCCACCAGGACGTGAACCGGCAACCTTCTCGCTGCGAGGCAACAGTACGACCAACTGTGCCACCTTGCAGCCCTCTGCAAATGACCTTTTATTTAAAATCAGAAATTAGAATAGGAGTAACATCAGGCACAACTATTTACAGTAATGCAAATTTTCTACCTTTGGAGGATATTCTAATCATATTCTAATTTAACATTATCAAGACTGACCAGAACTAAATTTCAAAACCATTCATCAAAGTTTCATCAATATTTACAGGATCTGTACAAATTCAAAACACACAACATAAATAATGAAAAAATAACAAACAAACAAATAAACACTATTCAGGGCTCCAGACTAACTTTTTCCCTGGTAGCACCAGTAAGACCAACTTTCTCATTTTTTTGCACCTCCCACCTGGTCAAAGGCAAAACATATGACTTGCTGAACATTTTCTTATCGACAGACGCTACGATTTACTGATGCTCCCTAAACGCCCCACATTGCAGGCTGCGGTTACTATTGTTTTGGTGGCTGTGGTGTGCTCTGACAGGTGTGTGACAAAAAATGACTTTAAAAACAATAAACTCATGCCACATTTTCCCGAGGTTAAACCGACTTACATGTATTTTACATGCAGTCTTTTCTACGAGCAGTCTTTTCTCCACTGACAGCATGGCCGATGCATTTAGCCGTCATGACAGTAGCTGTCATCTAGACAGAGAAAGGCTGTGTGACGGTGTCAGAAAGCGCAGTTGTAAGAACGACAAAAGACAGTTTTGATATCCAACCACAGAGGACAAAAGCAAACAATGACAAAATTAATTGGCTTACAGCAAAAGTAGACGGGTCCGGCACCGAGCTGCGCCCCGTGAGAAAGTCTGCAGCTGCCAATCAGAGTCCGAGCTACAGTCACATGATCACGAAAACTTTTTCGAGCTGCATACACACTCATGTGGCCACGGCCCGCATCCAGGAAGTGTAGAATTAGTAAACACGCAGTAAAGACTAAAATTAAATCTGTTAATAATACAAACATTGTTAATACAGCAAAAGAATATGAACGTTATTATGAATTTTTGTATTATTTTGTTAAAATTAATTCAAATTAAATTTTTACGTTTGAGAACTACTTTTTATCTGGGCATTAGTAGTGGGGGGACCCTGTATTGACCAGCTGCCACTGCCAAGAGAGTCTCGAGTAAGTTTGATCTAGAACACTGTCAAGAACCAAAACCTAAACCCAGTGCCAGACTGATGCTGAGTTTCGTGCCCAGGTGCAGGTGGGGAGGACTGTGAGTGTGGAGCAGAAGCAGTGAAGGAGTCTCAGGGTGTCTGCAGACACTGGGCCAAAGGACAGAGCAGTTCAGATACACTGATGATACTGGAGCTGATCCCAGAGCAGTTCACACTGCAGCACTGAGAGTCANCAGTGCTAACCAACTGCGCCACCTTGCAGCCCATAAAGATGTTTTTAATGTTTAATGTAAATATTTTAGGAACATTATAGACTGTATATAAAGCTATTTTCTGTAGAGATGTTTTAATTTAGACTGTCTATAAAGATGTAAAAGTTTTATGGACATTGTAGACTGTATATAAAGATGCTTTATTTCAGACTGTATATCTAGATATAAATGTTTTAGGGATATGTGCATTAGTTTGCAGAAACGTTCCACCTTCCCCTGTTGAGGACACACAGAGAGCAGAGCTGAAAGCATCAGTCCAATCACTGATCAGCACATCAGCTGAAAGCTCATCTTTTCCAGAATTTCTGCGGCCAAAATCCAGACATGAGCTGCTTCTAACTCACACATTGAACGTATTTCCTTCCTCAGAAAATACTTGCAAAGCAAACTTTGTTTTTAAAAAGTTCTGAAATATGCACTGCCTACATCCACATGATCTTGTTGATTGTTCACCTTTCTGTCCTTTTTTTTCATTATTATTTGTTTTCTTTACTCTCTTCCTCTCTTGACCTTCAGAGAAAGAATATGAGAAAACCTCAGCAACCTCCACATTAAGTAACATCACGTATCGGCTGATTCATTCAGGTTAAAGCTAACTTTAGCTGCTGCTACACTGTTGTTAGCAAACCGATGGCGGCTAGCTATGTCTATGTCGTTCTTCAGCACAGGAGTAACAACAACTCTTTCCTATTGACACTGACAAACATTTATTGTGGCTTAACGTTGTTTGAGTTACTCTGAAGCAAGCCTACATTAAACGTTTGTAATTAGCTCAGGTTCGTATTTAGGTGACGTTAGCTGGCAGATATAAACTAATATTGTTCATTCAGTTCCAGCTACCTTCAAGCTGCTGATATTAACATGAAAGCAGGATTTGCCGGTCAGTATTCTTTGAAACTGCGCCACGTCGATGCTCCGATACAGGCTGTTTCAGTTTAGGGATGATTCTCCGCAACTTTCTCACAAACGGAGCTTCTTTTAGCCTCTAGAGTGAACACGGAGCTGCTGCCGGTAGTCCGGTCAAAGCGGAGAGCTGAATGTGAGCACAGATGTGGACTCACATTTCTGCAGGAACTAAACAAGCAGCAGCGGCACAGAAAGTCGCTCACGTCCCTTCAGACGGAGGAGATAGAGTGTAACACCACGAGCTCGCGCACTGGAGAACAGGAAGAGGCCGTCACGTCACGGTTGTCAGGGAAACAGCAGGCACACAACAAGTTTGTCCGATCACAACTATTTATTTATATGTACAGCGTTTAACACATTTACTAGACCACCACCCAATGTCAGGTTTATGCCACAGCTGTCCTAAATTACCAGCATTGCTAATTACCCAAATCATTTATGTTTCTGTAATGTTCAATACACCAGTATGTAGAAGCTCTTTAACCCAAATGATATTTTGAATGCTAAAATATAATTATTTTTTATATCCATGAATTTTCAAATGTACTATTTTACAAAAAAAATAGTAAAGCACGTTATTATAATTTCTTTTTTGATTAAGATGTCACATTATAGTTATTTACTTCCATTCCTGAAGAGAAAATGTAGTTTTAGTGGTTGAGGGTTACGGTTGATACGCAAAGAAAATCAGACAGAGGCCCCGTTAAACAAAAACAACAACCACACAATAAAAAAAAAAAAAAAAAAAAAAGAATAAGACGATAAAATGCAAATACACAGGAGCAGTGAGAAAACGAACAGAGAGGGAGTACATCACTGCAGCGTGGACCATAAAGGTAATAAGTTTTACAATCCATGAAACCGACTTTCACTGTAGTTAACTGACAAACTTACTGCACTTTCAGGAGGGAAAGTGAGAGGATGTGCTGATGTTACTGCTCACAGTAGTTTATAGAGTTAGTGCCATGATTACAGTGGGACG